TGGATTTTTAGGGAACAGTGGAAAAGTCGTAAAAATTCTCGCCCGTCAGAAGATTGGCCACGATGATCTTATCGCATTTTTAACGTTTGTTGTCTTGCGATACGAGTTTCATAGTTGATACGAATTGATTGATCGATGTAAAACGATGGAATGCGCGATCTATGCGAAAGTTTTATATGGGTGGTTCCGCGGGAATGGCAAGTGTTGAAAATAGAAATTTTTGGATTTTCGAAATGAAAAAGTTCAATATTTAAACGAGGATGCGAAAATTAATAAAGTTGACAATGATTTTCTAATTTTCTAATTAAACGCACCATGTTGCCCCGTATAATACGGTGGTTTATTTAAACCACCACGGAGAGAGACACGATATATTTCGCGAAGAGACAAATTGGAGAATAATGGTTCGGACGATATAAAATTATCTAGACTATCGCAACGTATAATTACCGTTTCTATTTAACGCAGGAGGTTGTGATTAAGTACGGTGGTTTAGTAAATTGCGTGACTCGTTCTCCTTTAATACGTCTTTTCCTTTAACGAACTACGTATTTTATATTCCGTCACGTCCTATATTCTCTTCAAATCCGTTAAAACGTAATTACGTATAATAAAAGTTGCATTGTAACCTCTCGAGGTCGTCATCATCAAGCTGTTTCCTGTAACGCTGCGCTATAACGTGTAATACAATTCCATTGGACTTTTCACCTTCTCCCTATCCCCGTTTTCTTTCCAATTTAATCGAATTTAAACAAATTAATAAAAGAAGAAAAAGAAAGAAAGAAAGAAAGAAGAAGAAGAAAGAACAAAAATTAATTTTCTTCCCCCATTACAAAAAATTCTTCATTCAAAATATTTTGAAAAAACGAAAAAATCGAAAAACCTTTACCTTTATAAATTTTCCATCTCCGGTATCCCCCTCCCCCTGCCCCCCAACTATCGTTTCTAGAAAGACTTCCCACCGCGTTCAAATTAAAAATCGTCGCGAAAATTACGATCGTTCGAAGCGATAAACGATCTCTGGCCAACACATTACCGAGGCTTGATGCATACGAATTCCACGTGTGATGATGCCGCGTGAAAAGAGAGAGAGAGGGAGAGAGGAGGGACGAGGATGGAACGCGAGTTCGAAACACGCGGAGAAAAGAACGGACGTCTGTCGCCGGTGTTGCTTGTCGTAAATTGGCGCTCGCTATGCCGTCTAAATGATCGTAACTAACGCGACACGAACTAACGTTACGGAGAGGGAAGGAGAAGAGAGACAGAGAGAGAGAGAGAGAAGAAGGCACAGCGCGACTCGTTTCCTGCTTTACGCATCGAGGATTGATTTACGCTCGTATTAATTTAAGGAGGGTCGGTTCGGCGACGAAACGCGCGTATCTCAAAGGAATTCCTATTAAATTGAAAATGATTCATAGAAGCAGCGTGGCGGTCTCGTTCGTAGCCTGTTAAACGGTTTCGTTTGATGCGGTGACGCGATTCGACGATTGGTATCGCGCGGATTTGCTGCGCGGAGCTGGAAGCAATTTTGGGAGGATGGCCCGAATTTTTTTTTTTTTTAGCAATTTAATTTAGAGTGAGAAGATCGACGATTCGAGAGGAAATAAGGGAAAATCTAAATAAGAATTCTTGGTAAAATCGAAGGAAAATCTTACACGATTATAATTGTATACCGAGTTAAAAATAAACGTCGGTTTGATTAATCATGGATAAGTACTATGATTTTCCGAGTATTTATCCAGAGGAAGATTTATTACGATCCCCGTGGCAATATTTCAAGCCCGTTTTCTCGCTCGTATAATCCACTGATCGCCTTTCTAGATTTGTTCCTCCTTCCTTTCGGGATAACTTTTCCAATATAATATTCCTTTGTCGACCGTAGGATTGTTGTTTCTCGTCACTCGGTGATTAATTCTCTTCTTTATTATCAACTCGTGAACTCGTGAAAACGTGATTTACTTGCATTGGATATTTAAACAATTTTGTATCAGAGCGCATGAAAACTGGTTCATCTATCATCATTCCTAATACGAAACATAGTTGCGACATTCTCTGTGCAGCACGAAAAACGCGTGTGATCTGTGCGACGTGATCTTGTCGTCAAAGGGTTAATCAAAAGCCAACACTGGAGCTCGAGGCTCACGTTTATCTGGAGGCAAAAATTAAGAACGGGATTTAAGACTGCGCGCGTTAACCTGGCTCGCGCGTGTTACCCGTCCTCTTTTTACCTGCTTATCTAGCGGTCGTGGTTACGACCGCCTCGATATGTTATCCGGCCGATCCGTTCCACTTGCTGCGATTTACGATTATCCGGAACCGGGTCGATCTTGATGCCATTCTCTTCGTTAACCCTTTCAGTCTCCGAACACTTTGGACAAAGCGAAATCGAGGAAACGTTTTATCGATGAATTGTAGAGAGAGAGAGACATTGGCAAATGATTTGTTCAGGATCTCTTGAATCCATCGTATTGAAAATAATTAAGATGGATAAAATGAGTGAAAGGTAAAATTTCTTTCCGTCCATTTTTCGTGTTTTAATTGATGGACGCGATTTTTTGAACGAAATAGAGGAAACGTTTTATCGATGAACTGCAGAGAGAGAGAGAAATGTTCTAGGTTTGTTCAGGATCTCTTGAATCCATGGTATTGAAAATAATTAAGATGGATAAAACGAGTAAAAAAGTAAAATTTCTTTCCAACCACTTTTCGTGTTTTAATCGATGGACGTGATTCTTCGAAGTTGATCGATTGTTTATGGATTATATGCGCGTATCGTGGCATTAAACGAGTCTAAATTGAAGCGTTGACGCAGAATAAACACCGAGGATTTATCTACTATCTTCTTCATTAGTTGGTACCGGCCATCACACCAGGAACGAGAGTAAATAACTTAGCTTATCTCGATAATGCGAACTAAACACGTAGCGCGTGTAATGTCGTTGCTTTGTAACGATATGCCAGAAACATCGCACAAGTTTGTCGTACATGCATACGCTAGATCTTGTCGTATGCAGTTTTCACGGGGCGCGCTTGAAATGATAACTCTTCCCTTCGAATATAACATGGTACGTGTTCCCATGATAAATTGCGCGCGTTGTCGCAGACACGTATGAAAGACTATTCTTTCTTCCTATTTTCTCAGATCCTTTTACATTTTATACTCGTGATAATTCTAATGATCGTATCACTTGGAAATTGTTTCCTTTCAAAATCATCTTCTAATAAAAACACCTCATCTCATTTCTATTCACCTATGAATAATCCTTCCATTTTAGTCCAATAAATACTGGAATAATATTATTTGGTCAATTTCACCTAAAGAGAAAACCTATCGAAATCAAATACCGTTCAAAGTTCAAATTCTATTCTTTTCGTGTTACCTCGGGAAGCGAGGTACAACATCCACCCCTAATTTCGCGCCACAAGATTTATACTCGACTCCAGTCGGTGAATATCTCCGACCCAAAGGATCTCCGGCATCTCTGGTCCACTCTAGAAATTCTCGTGTAATATCCAACGATGAAATGAGATAGAGAGAGGGAGAGATAGAGAGAGAGAGAGAGAGATCGAGAGAAGCTCGCAGTCGAAAGTCACTTATCTCCTCGCCGAATAACATTCCCTCCTCTTATCTACGCCTCGGTCTAACAACCGAGCAGGACACGCTTTGCTCGTGAACTATTAAACTTCGTTATGACCTTGCCGGTGCTTCCAACGTCGCTTTATGCGCCTCGTAAAATTTATCTGGATCCGTGGCTAGCGCGGATTTCGAATTCGACCCTTGTTTACCGCTCTCTAAACGCTTGCTTTCAAGAATAGCGACAACTTCTTCCCCTCCTCCCCCGTTTCTCCTCACTTCACCCGACTTCTCGTGTCGCCGTTCGAAGAGATTTCGTTGGGAATGCGAGATAGTAAAAAAAAAAGGAGCGTGATAAAGGGGATGATTTTTATTATAGAGGGACGTATATTCCTGTCTACAATATCGTTACGGCTCTTCCTGGGAAAAATTTTGATTAGATCGCTTGCCAAAGTGTCGTTCAATTGCGAAATGCAATGGTAATTATTATTATTATCCTCGTTATCGAATCATCGTTTATTTTGCGATGATACGATTTCTTAGAGTCGATGAAGAGATAATAGGGATAAGATTTACCCCTGGTAAAAAGGTGAAAATCTCACCAGATGGATGAGACGTCGAGATGATGAATATAATTTCTTGTAATGCAAAATAAAAAGTGTTAAAGAACGAGATCGATTGGAATTCGTAATAAGATTTCGTCGTAATAAAAGTTCGTCGTGTCCTCGATGAGAATAAGGATACGGGGATAGATTCGCTCGTTTTGGTCTGGCAAAGAAATTATAATTGGAGCACATTGCGCTTAAATAAGGCGACGGAGCATATCCGCGTATACACGGAGGAAATTTCCCACGAGCGCATTTCATTATCGTATCACCGTGTTGTTGTTGGCTCGGTAAGCTAAGAGTGGAGAGCTAGTTTTTATTCTAATTAAAGTTGATATTTATTCTTGAGAGCGGTATATAAAATGTTGTTTACGTCGCGTTCGCAAGTAGGCTTCGAAGAGCGTTTGATCTTTTTAGGAACGACCGCGATTTACAAGTTGCAAATACCACATTGTCCTCTTATCTTATTTCCCAGAGGGATAAAAGCGGAGGTGCATCGCTAAAATAGCTCGTACGTCCCCTCTGGTTTTACGTAATCTTCCGTTTCAATTACACAGATTTAATTTCACCGTGCATCATCCGTTTAAAATGTTTATCATTTTAAATAACAGCTGCACTTTCCATAACTTTGTATAAAAATCCAAAGAAGGAAAGGAAGAGGAAAAAATTTTCTCACGGAGAAAAATATAAATCCAATTTGCTCCATCCTCTAACTTCGACGTTTCGTAGTTAGGAACGAAAAAACTTACCGCGTCACTTCCTTTCCACAACAATCTTCACCTGAAACAAAGGGCATGAAGCGTCGATTAATCACACTGCGATCGATTTAATCCTTATTCATCCTTTATTATGTACACAACTTCTCGTACGCTACGCGAATGTTCTCAGATCGGCGAAAACCACTCTCATCCTCCTCTTAAGTTCGTTCGAGTACCTCAACGCGGACTCGTCGATCCTAACGTCCTCCATCAAAGCATCACAGTCCAAATGCGTCTCGTCGCAGGCCCTGTGATGATGCTTCAAAACGTCGCCCGGATCGAAATGGTGCGCCCGCCTCGTGGACGGGTTCAACGCGGTCAACGCGTAATGATTGTGCACCGTCAACGCGCGCCTGGTCGAGACGAAACTCTTCACCGAGTCGCCCTCAGGCGAGATGCAGGCCGTCCTCACCGTGTCCAGATAATTGAAATCGGTGAGAATATCGGTGGAATTGTCCTCGCCACCGTCGTCGCTCCTGTTCCTCGTCTGCAGCTCGGGGAAAAAGTAAGCGTTTCTCACCGCGTAAGACGCGAAATCCTTGAATCCTCTCCCAAGCTTGATCCTCTCGTCGAGCAACAACTCGTGCCAGCTCTTCCTCCTGGACGGGACGATCGCCTCGTCGATGTCGATGGGCACCACGAATTCGGATCGATGAAGATTGTCGTAGAAGCAATGATTGTACGGTATCAGCTCCATGCGCCTCTTGATCCAGATATTCTCGGAGAGGAACCGCCTCCTCGAGATCCTCTCGTTCGGCAGGTCACCGGGAAGCGTGAGATTGAACCATCTGATCACGTTCGACCGCTCGTACAGCCTCAACACCCTCAACACGTTCTCGTGAACGTTGAACACGTAGAAGTAGAAGAGTTCGGCGCCAAGTATGCGGTGGAGCTCGACGAAAGCGACGATTTTCCTCGAGATATCCTCGTCGAAGTCCAAACCCTTGATGCACAGGGTGAATTGACGGCGTCGCGCCTCAGCTTCGCTCCTGCTGTCCTCGTTCTTTATCGCTAAACTATGACTAGCATTCTGGTGGCAGGGCTCCAGGCCTACGTACACCTTGGACGGCTCGATCGCCGCGTCGAGTGGTAATTGACAACCGACGAGGATCCCCGCGTAACTGTCCACCGTCTCGCCCCATTCCTCCAGCCAAATCGTGGACACCAGTGCCTCCACGCTCACGGCTCTGCCTCGATCCTCCTCTTCGTACCTGGTTCAACAAGCAGCAGAAAAGAAAATTATTTGACGATCTGATAAATTTCTCGAAT